GGTATCTCCCATCCATACACACATAACCCTCTCCCATATACACCTAATATATTTTTAATCTTAAATTTCTGACAGTCTCATACACATACACAATATCTAGTGACTCTATTAGCCCTCTTTTCCTTCTTTTCTCTCCCTTTCTTTCTCCATGAACCCCCTTTTCTTCCATATTAGCTTCCCTCTGGTTTCTCCCACCTCTAGCAAACCTTAGCAGTCAACATTGCCTCCAGAAGAGGTGTGGCCTCAAGGGCACCCCCTCTATTCTTGACGGAAGTACTAAGGGCCTGATCTTGTGTAGGTATCCATAGCTGCTATGTGTTCATGATTTGTAACAGCCATGCAATCTCTGAATGGTGGCATCCCATGATACTCTTTCCCATCTTCCATTTCTTCTTATTTATTTATTTGGTTTTTCGAGGCAGGGTTTCTCTGTAGCTTTGGAGCCTGTCCTGGAACTAGCTCTTGTAGACCAGGCTGGCCTTGAACTCATAGAGGTACTCCTGCCTCTGCCTCCTGAGTGCTGGGATTAAAGGCGTGCGCCACCACCTCCTGGCCATCCATCTTCCATTTCTTAAACTCTCTCCTCTCCCTCTTCTCTGGTGTCTCCTGAATCTTGGGAGGAGGGTGTTTCCATTTTCCTTAACACGTTTTACTCCTTTCCTTTCCCCAGTAGCCTGTTTTTTCCCCAGTTATGCTTTTTAAAACTCATGTCCTCAAAATTATCACTGGGTGTGAGCTTTAAGGATTATAGTTACAATTTACCTCAAAAAGGACAAAGAAACACAAACAGGATGCTTAATGATTAAATATTCAATATTAGTTATCAAGGATGTTCTTGAGTTTTCCAACAATTTTGTATCTATCATGGCCACAATAATGTTTTGATTCCTAAATACTTAATTTTGGAACCCTAAACAAGAGAGCCGTAGAGCTAAAGATGCGGAGTCCTCTGATCCACTAGGATGTAAGAAGAAGGAAGTCTATGAGTGCGAGGCCCGCCCCACTGATGCGGAGGGGAGGAGAGGGCAGCCAGCAGGTACTGTTCTGCACTGGGCTGGAGCTGGGGCCAGGCTGCAGCTCGAATGACCACATCTCATTACAGCTTTAGGACACAGTGTGCTTACTCACTAGCCTTCGGGTGGGAAGGAAGCCAGCCAGGCCCCAGAGGACACCTTCAGGAGATTTTCCTCTGAGCCTCAGCAGAGGACAAGAAGGATGACTGGCATCTGAGAGGACTCTGCCTTGTAACCAACGGCAGAAAATCTAACATCTGTGGTCACGTACCTAAATGCCGCCTTAAGGAATCGGTAATCCGGTTCTCTGTGTTTGTACAAAGCCATTTGCAGCAGCCAACAAATTCATTTCCAGACTCCAAGGCTCTGTCTTTGCCATAAGACTAAGCATTATTTTCAGAAAACAAGCCACTGTCGCCCTGGTGAAGGCTGCTGACACTATCACCTTAAACACAATGGCTCCTAACTCTTTGGTACTTCATCCGTGATAGATAGAGAAATAACCCAAGGACATTTCAACCTTCCCTAAAGACCCCAAAGTGAGACCGCATAAAATAGGAATTTCCTTCCTGCTAAAAGCTGTGTTCTGCATTTCCGTGCTGACAAAGTGCCCTCTTGCAGGTGAACCAATGAGTTAATGCTTGCTGACTGCCTCTGGCCTAGCGCCCATCTCCTCTTTAGACTTTACTCAGGATCCTGCCCCCTAATGAGTGTGCCTGCCTTGTCTGCGCCCATCTTCTCTCTATGACTTTACTCAGGATCCTGCCCTGTAAGGAGTGTGCCTTGTTTCCCTGGCTGCTGACACTTGCTTCCTTGTCCTGAGACTCTGCAGACATGTCTGTTTCTCCTTTCTAGACTCTAGTTTCTGAGGGTAGATCAATCTTCTCCCTCTCCCTATCTCTTTGTCTTCCTTTCTGTTTTTCTCCTATATTCCCAGTGGTGTCACTCCGTTTCGCATACCATAAATGTTCAATAAATCAACTTTAGCAATGGGGGGTAAACTACCTTAAAGGACAACATTTACTCCTGCAAGAAATGACTCATTAGATAATTAAATATTTACACTCCCTTCTTCCAGTCCAATGAACAATGTTATCTGTGCACACAGACAAATGTACACACAGTACGCCCGAGTTACCCTAAGTCGATCTTTGGGCAAACACAAAAGAGAATCAACCCCATAAATAATTAAAACATGAACTGGGTCATATTTTGTATCTGGTTTTCTTTGAGAAAACTGACATGATGCTTCGTAGCAAATGAAAATTTATTTTGCAAATCCATATCCACAAAATGCCACCAAGCATGGGTCACGCATCTTTCTTTTCTGGTTTTGATCCCATTGCTCTGACTTAGCGTGGTAATGATATTACAAAGCCATTAGCCGATGAAATGAAAATGGCAAAACAGTTTAAATGCTTGTCTAAAGAGACTCTGTTAGACCGCAATTGTGAGTGAAATTACAACGGCAAAATAATTGAAATGCAAGTCTGGAAGACAGAGCCATGAAACCATAAAAACCAGCTTCCGCTAGGGACTCACACCCTTGTGTGAAAACAAGTCCTTCTGAGGGCGCAGTTGCAAGTCACTGAAGGGCAGCATTCACAGACAGATGAAACAATCCAGGAACCTTTTCTTCTGCCTTGCTATCTACACTTGACAATGCCACCTGCAGACGTGTGTCATCATCGGTGCTGGCTTCTGTGACAGATTGATACGGGAACCCTATGCAATGTTGTGCATGAGATAAAGGAAGAAGGGCAAGTCTGGTGTGGGTTTTCCTGCAATAACTCTAACATAAACGCTGGTACTATAGCTTGAACAAGGTTTCCTTCCAAATTTAACACTTCAGTGATTAAGTACCGATGTGGATATAATTCTTAGGCTTTAACTTGAAACATTCTACTGATAGATACATCCTTTGGCAAATCTTGAAAATTCCTGACTAATTAGGCCCATACTAATACATCTGCCTACCAAAGGAAAAGAAAACCAGCAAATCAAAACACAGTGTCAGATACGTGAGATCTGCTGAGAAAAATCAATTTGATGACTAGTTAAGCTTTCTCCTCTGAAGCACAGTGAGACCTGCCTTTTGATGGCTGAACACACACTTGAGTCTATCAGCAAAGACAGGCAAGTTATTCGCCAGTTCCCACCTTTCATGGACCCAGTGCTTCTATTTACACAGGAGGAAATAAATACACACACACACACACACACACACACACACACACACAGGAGCTAATTTAAAGAATAAAACTCTTTAAAGGAATTAAACAATCCTCTCCTTGGTGACTTTCTCTTGTGGTGCCAGAGAGGAAGCTGGGAAATTTCATCTAGCCACACACATTTTTTTGCATCAGTGATCATGACATTATCTAATAAACAACTATGTTCTCGATTTCTCAAGCTTTGTTTATAGAAGTCTCCTAGAAATATAGGCAGCAGTATTCTGATTGTGTAAGATTTTCATATATTCAAGCATGTTCTTTGAGACAGACTTTCATTTTCTTTCTTTCTTTCTTCCTTCCTTCCTTCCTTTCTTTCTTTCATTCAAGATTTCTTTACTTTGTGTAGATATGAGCACTCTATCTACATGTATGACTTTATATCAGAAAGGGGCATCAGATACCACTATAGATGGTTGTGAGCCACCATGTGGTTACTGGGAATTGAACTCAGGACCTCTGGAAGAGCAGCCAGTAATCTTAATGGCTGAGCCCTCTCTCCAGTGCTGAGGCAGAATTTCTAAGAGGAGTTTGAAAATCTTTCTGACTTAGTGTATCAAGTAGTTGACATGGGCCCTTAAACTGTGTATGTCTCCCGAGTGAGTGCTGGGATTAAAGGCTTGCAGATCTCTGTGAGTTCGAGGCCAACCTGGTCTACAAGAGCTAGTTCCAGGACAGGAACCAAAAGCTACGGAGAAACCCTGTCTCGAAAATAAAAAACAAAAAAACAAAAAAACAAACAAAACAAAACCATGAATGTCTGCTCCTCTAGTTTACCGCAAGAGAATGAACCTCTCTACAAAAGATCCTTCTGTGTATGGTGAACTGAATATAAAAACCAAGTCTGTTGCCTAGATACCTTACAGAAGTCATATCTCAACACATAAAATTGAATGATTAATAACATTTGAAGTCAATTTTAAAGTTATATTAGAGAATGAAATTTGTCCAGTTTAGAAATGAAGATACAACCCCCCCAAAACAATTTTAAAATTATCTATAGAAAATTCTATGTAGAAAGCTAATTAGGAAAAAAACAAGCAAATACTCTCATTGATCATAGGAAAAAATGTATCAGTGTTCTGACGCTAAGTGACAGTATTAGATGTAATATCTGAAATCAACACTCACGGGTTTCATAGAATCAACCTCTATTTAGAAAATTATCAAGTGAGTTTCCTATAAAGATACTGGGGATGGAAACCAGGGTTCTTCACGTGCTTGGCAAGTGCTCTACCGCTGAACTCCATCCCCAGCCTTACCTTAGGTATCAGTAAAGGAGCCAGCAATGCAGGTCTCTACTGCCATGTGCCCATGTGACACACACTGATGTGCTGGTAAAGGAAAGGCTGTATCCACAATGGTGACCTACAAGGTTGTATTGCTAATCATGTCAGAGCTATGTGCATGTGTAGACTTTATAACAGTTACATACCAATTAGTGACACCCTTCTCATTAAATGGCTCATGACTTCTGCTAGAGTAGCTTGAAATACATTTCTCTAACTTACTTTAAAATGCTCACAAATAGGCTGTATTGATGAATATATAAAACATGAAGAAACCGTCAGAAAAGTTAGCTACCGAACCCAGGTAAGATTCTATACAGGTGCTCATGACATAATTTTTCTATTTTTTTTGTACTTACAAGATTTCTCATTTAAAAAAAATGCAGTTCTCTAGATGAGTGTTATTTACTCTGGGCTCCATAATTAAAAGCGATTTCAGAGCTGTCTCGCTAACATAAAACACTCACCTAGCCATCCGGATCCTGAATTCGGTATGCAGAGATCTGTCTCTGCACTGGGTAGCACGAAGCCCACCACAAACACCTCCACACCATCCGCCATGAGAGCCATGCCCAGGACAAAGAAAAGGGCCCACTGGAAACGACCATGGCCACACTCCTGGATTATCAGCTCATACTGCTGGGCCAGCTCTTCCTCGTCAGCCCTCCGCTCTGACTCCAGCTCTCGGCGGTCCTTGTACTCATCTCTTTTGGGCTGTCCCACTGACACTATGCTGTCCTTCCCCTGGTTCATGCTGGGGATGCCCTGGTACTCCCCTTCATAGATCTCATCCTCTTCATCATGACCCTCAGTGGCCTCACTGGAGCCCTCGTCATCGTTGGCCTCCCCGCTGTAGGGTTCTCCGGGCGGGTAGTAGTCATCGTCGTCCTCTTCATCCTGGAACCGACTGTAGGACCGCTGGGTGTATTCATCCTGGGCCCGGTCCACTGCCTGGCTCACCTTCTTCACTGTTTGCTTCTTCACCTCTTTGGCAATGTCCTTGGCACCCTTCATCAGTGAGGTCCTATCCTTGTAGGAGTCTTCCATGTTGTCTCAGCTGATGGCCAACGTGCAGCAGGGGAGTGTCCACGAGTGTTCAGCAGCTCAACTCTAACGGCATCACTCACCCGTGGTTCCAAATAGATCTGCATGGGAAGAACCAGGAGAGATGCTCATTATTCCTTTCCTTTCCTTTTCCATCACTCAGCTCTTGGCCCCTTTTCACTACCCCACACTGCAGTAGACAGACACAGAAAGGCACAGAATGCACTCTTCTTGCTTTGCTAGCACACACACGTGAGCACACTATTCTGCTTCTTTGCTCAAGTGCAAATCACACGTGGAGTAGCTAGCCAAGGTTGCTACTGTAGTTTTTATTTTAAAGAACTTTGCTTGTAGGGTAACGTTGCTCAGGTATTCTACTGAGAATGAAGGCTAACTCCCTTCCACCTTTTAAAACACAAACAGTCCGTCTCAAAAGGCTTCCCCAAGACTCAGAGATCATCAAGGAAGCTTGAAGAGCCGGAGTTGGTGGATGACAATAAGAAAATTTTTATCCCGGAAGAGCAGGGCGCTACACAAACGAAGTCACAGTGGTTGTGACAACATGCATAAAACCCGGAAACCCAGGCAAGCTGGAGCTAGAAAAACATCTCAGCATGGAGATGGGGGTGGGGATGTGGAGGGGAGGTGGGCAGAAAGTCCTATTCCTAGCTAAGGAGTTACTAGTGATTAATAGCTACTGGGAGGAGCAGGGTCAGTTTCAGTTACAATTATGATCTCCGATGGGACAGCCATGTTTCAAGACAAGCCCTACACCCGAGTATTTGGCCAGCACACACTGGACACAGATTTGATGAGTTTTTTTAAAAGGGGAGGGCACAAAGTTGGGTGGGTGAGGAGGTAGGGGTGAGTCTGGGGGGAGCTGATGGAAGGGAATGATTATGATCAAAACACACCATAAGAAATTCTTCAAGAATTTAAAAAATATTTTTTTAAATTTTTTATTGAGAAAAAGAAAAGAAAAAAAAGTTTCCGCCTCTTCCCAGCCTCCCATTTCCCTTCCCCTCCTCCCACCCTTCTCCCCCTCCCCCCACTCCTCTCCCCCTCCCTCTTCAGTCCAAAGAACAGTCAGGGTTCCCTGCCCTGTGGAAAGTCCTAGGTCCTCCCCACTCCGTCCATGTCTAGGAAGGTGAACATCCAAACTGGCTAGGCTCCCACAAAGTCAGAACATGAAGTAGGATCAAAACCCTGTGCCATTGTCCTTGGCTTCTCATCAGCCCTCATTGTTCGCCATATTCAGAGAGTCCAGTTTTATCACATGCTTTTTCAGTCACAGTCCAGCTGGCCTTGTTTTTTAAAAACCTGTAAGCTTATATCCTGATTCACAGACACGTAGACATGTATGGACTCACAAGACATGCATCTATACACAGTGAAGGCGCAGCTGGACGGGGACTAGAAGAAGTCCCGTCTCTCATTCTGTGCCCTGAACAGTTCACTGGTCAGTTCTCATGCCATGCCACCTGTCTGTCATGATGCATTTTCCCTGCCCCCACACTTGATGTCCACAAAAGTCCTCCAAAGACACTTCACATGGAGTCTCCCTTCCTACTGCAGCTGTGTCTGCAGGAAGGTGACAGCTAATCAAGTGAGTTTATGTGGAATCACAGAATTAGAACACGCATTTTGTTTGTGGAGGTCTTTTCTTTCAGAGCTCACCCCAGCCCGACAGGAACAGGAAAGCCTGGGCGATGGGCTTTCACAGATCCACCTGCAAGTCCTCCAGGTTTATCTCTGCCGTCCTCGAATGCAGACATTCGATGGTGGATACGTAATTGATGGCACGTTAGAAGTGATGCTTCTTTCCCAAGCAGGTCCTATCTGGGAGACGTAGTCACTGCTTGCTTGTGGGCAGCCTTGTGCCAGGGTCCTCCTTTCCTTCTTGCTATCTGCTTCCCTGCCCTACCACACACTGGTGCCATGCTGCTCTGTCTGATCGCGGACTCACAGACAACAGGGTCAGCTGACCACAGAGTACAACATCTGGAGTGCCTCTAAAAGAAACCCTTCCTTCAAAATCCTCTTAGATACTTGCAGTGATGTCATGCTAACTAATACAAAAACCACACTTGGGTTGCAAGCAGTAGTTCTCAGAGGGAAGTTTACTCACCAGGTGTGGTTGAAAGCAAGGCTCACAACCATCTTAAAAGATCATTCACGTGTGCAGAGAGTGATCCTTTATTTCTACATGGATTACAGAGTATAATACATACTGTGCACCAGGCTCTGCTTGCTTCAACTGAAAATTAAAATTCATTGAAAAACCAATGGACTAGGGAGATGGCTCAGCAGTTAATGCATTTTTTGCATGAGCAAAGGACTTCCGCGAGATCTATAGAACCCATGGAAGTGCTGGGTGGCGGCATGCCTGCAACTCCAGTCTCCAAGGTGGAGGACAGAGAACCCTAGATAATGCTGGCTAGGCAAATGAGTCATACTGGTCAGCTCTGGATTTGATTAAGAGACCCTGCTTCAAAGAAGAACATGGACGGCTCATCAAGGAAGACTCCCAACATCAACTTCAAGCTCCCACATGAGCAGGTACACATACGCCTGTGAACACACACACACACACACACACACACACACACACAGATACACACACTCCCTGCAAATATACAAATGAAAAGAAAACGAAAAAAGAAAACCAAAACAAATTCAGTTGGTTTAGCGCATACTATACCAGGTATGTATTAGCATTTTAGGTTCCTCCTTATATTTTTTTTTACAAACTCTTTCAATACGATAAAATAAACATTATGGCCTCCATCTTTCAGATGTGAATACTAAAGCAGAAAGGGATGATCAAGTCGAGGACCACAGGGCTTGTCAGAGCAGCTGGGGCTCGCTCTCAGCTGGGTTTGAGCCCAAGGCTTGTGCCTTCACCTCATCCGGTGCTCCCATTGGGGGTAAGTGCTCCAGCCCAGATTCTATTCTTTTCCTCCCTGTACTAACATTGCTTCACCACCTCGTCTCCAAACTACACTGTGGGCTCTAAAAGGAAAGGAGTTGGAGTTGTTGATGACATCTTTTCATCAAGGGTAGCTTTCAATGGATAGCAGTTCCCAAGTGCAGTCTGATTTGTCCATGGAAACAATCACAATACGGCGGCTGTCTTTCCAAAGACAAAATGGTGACGTTAGATAGGTGTAGTGATCAAGAGGGCGGGAGATTCGGCAAAGCCTCCAGATTCCCACCATCTCCAAAATACGCATGATGACATCCTATCTTACTCAGACAGAAGTAACGCCTGAGGCCGTTCCCCACTCAAGCACAAGGTTCTACCCTTTCACATCTCCACACCTGTCATGTGTCAGCTAAGGGCACCTAGGGTGACCCTGAAATGCAGGTGCTCACAGCTCTCTGCACAGAGGGAAAGCAGATCCAGCACCTCGGATGCAGTCCTCTGGAAGACAGCAGCAGGTGCTGGCTGGTGGAAACAGAGGCGCAGAGGGAAGCTGGAGCACAGTGGGGGAGCGACAAGAGTGTGGGGGGAGCGCAGTGAGTAGGCCATAGTACTTCTTCTATTGGCGGTTACTGGGGATCTCTGCAAACACTCTGACACCGAGGAAGAGCCCCACTGGTCAGGTTTTGTGTAAATGCCCTGATCATCATGTTGAGCCAGAGAACCCACAGCTGATTGATACTGTATCTTTAAAGGCGATATTTAAAACAAATAACTTTATATCAAATGACATCTGATATATTCAATGATACACACATTTTGCACAAATAGAGAAGGGGTAACCTCTACATATGGATGAGAATTATTCTGACAAGCATGGCGTGTGGATGCTGAGTGTGTGTTTTTGCTTTTGGTGGTTCACAAAATAGCGGACATCTAGTAATGTCACATAGTGTTTTAAAGCTGTTTCACACAAGCTCTCACAGCACACAGCCCACATGCGTGAACACATACAAACGCTTACACATACATACACACACATACTCACATACACTCCCACGCACACACATAGACATGCACACGAGTGCACGCACACACACACACATTTCTGTTTCTCCACAAAGCCACCACCTTCAGCATTTCCCTCATCATCACTACCATAAGCAGTTCCTGGGATGTTCCTCCTCTCTAAAACTTGCACACGTCTTCCAGATGCTCGACAGTGCATCTTTCTCATACGTGCCTTCCCATAGATTTAAAAACACCGTACTCTCACTGCATACTGGTACCCATAATAGCAGCAATCTCTTCTCTCCACAGTGAGTGTCAGGCCAGAATGGGTTACACAGCAAGCCTTTGTCTCAAGAGAGAAAAATATCAAATTGAGCAGGCCCACTCCAGAGCTCACCCTGTGAAGTACCATATCAACTACCTTTTAGCGAAACTGTGAGCGTGTGGTGGAAATGAATCTTTGGTAAAAGACAGCACCACCCAGTAGCCTGGGCATCATCTAGACTTTCTGCAAATGCCTGGCATAAAGGGGTTGTGCAGAGAGACTTACTATGAAAGGACTCACCTCCCCAAGGCAGGGAGAATGGAGGAATAGAGAGCTGTTATTGAAAGCATAAAATGTTTCAGTTTTTACAAAATAAAGGGTTATGAAAAAGGACCGCGATGACAGTTGTGGAAGAGTATGAGTGTATAGCTACAGATGATTAAATGAAAATTTTATGCTATGCTGACGTTATCACAATAAAAATACTGGAGAAAAGAATTTTAAATATATTTTACTAAGTCTTTGAAATTTTTATATTTTGTGTTTTGATCATATTCACTTTTTATTCTGCCCCCCCCAAAAAAACTCTTCTTAAATACACCCCCCATTTCAAGTCCTTTTTAAAGAAAATATTACCTCATAGCAGATATCCTGGAAAAATAATTTGGAAATTCAGAATCACACATACGAGAGTGAGAAAGAGAGAGACAGAGACAGAGAGGTATATTTCTACAATCCAGATTCTTAATAATCAGCAGTTCTGCTTCCAGTATTTGACTGTGTGGAGGCAGGAGCACCGAGCAGGAGCACAGAGCAGGAGCACAGAGGAGGAACATGGAGCTGGTCGGATCACACTGAGCACACACGTTTGAAATCCTGCTCAGATCCCTCTAACACCTATA